TGACTTGTGCCTTGTGGCTTCCAGACTTGTTTTCCACAGCTTCATTGAGTTCTTGATGAAGGCTATTAGAGTCTTGATGAAGGCTATGAGAGTCCTGTTGATCGTGTACATTTCCAGGCATTCCAGTATCCATGTATGTGGCATTGAGTCATAGGCTTTCTTATAGTCAATCCAGGCAGTGCACAGATTTGTCTGCCTGGTCTTACAGTTACCTAAGTACAACAAGCTGTCGATTCCTGAGGCTCTGGAAACTGCCAAACAAAGACTCGCCGCCCTGGCCACCCGCCTAAAGAGATACAAGGGAGAATATATATATATCTATATATATATATAGATATATATATATATATTTTTTATGTGCTATTTCATTGAAGATTAATTACTTATTTACTAAATCTGTTTGAAGGAATAGCAGAGATTGCTTCAAGCCTCAGCTGCCCCTCCCCTACATGTTGCTGTCAGCTGGTTGAAAATTTGAAGCTTAAACGTGGCAATTTTCATCTCTGCTGGAAAGTTTTGTGGAATTAACGACTTCAAAAGCCACCCTGTGTTCATTTACTGCCACTGAAGTTCCAATAAGCATCCGAAGGGTGTCAAGTAGTTATCTGCTGCTGCTAAACAAACCCTTAACCTAACATTAAGTTTAATATTTTGAAAGTAAATATCTGATAGTTAACATAAAAAAAAGAAAGATATTAAATGATTTTTACTTGAGATCTTGTATCTGTATAGTTATTTAAGAAATATATAAATATAATATATATAGTACAAGGGCTGCCCAGCTGCTCAGTGATGCAGAGCCTAGCACTGCTGCCTTGCAGCAAGTAGGTTCCGGGTTCGATTTCCAGCCCGATTTCCAGCCCGGGGTCTTTCTGCGTGGAGTTTGCATGTTCTCCCTGTGCATGCATGAATTCTATCCGGGTACTCCTGCTTCCTCCCACAGTCCAAAAACATGACTGTTCGGTTAATTGATTTCTCTAAATTCTACTTATTTGTAAGTGTGCGTGGATGGTTGTTTGTCATGTTTGTCTCTGTGTTGCCCTGCAATGGACTGGCGACCAGTCCAGGGTGTACCCCGCCTCTCGCCCGTAGACAGCTGGAGGGACTAGCACCACTTGCTACCTCAGCTGGGATAAAGCGTGACAGAAAATGCATAGAAAATGGATAGATTGCAAACAAATCTCATCTAATCATTTCTGCATTTTCTTATACCTTAGTTCATCATAAAATAATCTGAACCATTACTATGATAGATACTAAAATAGAAGAGGTGCCATAAACAGGATTATGGGACAATTTAATTGTGATCTCAAACCTACATTCATCAAATATATTTAAAACAGTGTTCATAAAACTCCTTTCCTCCAGGGCCTGTGTCCTGCAGCATTTAGATATCGACACACCTAACAGAGCTTAACTGCTGCTGATGAAGAAGTTTAGCTATTTGATTGCACTGTTTGGGGCAAGGGACACATAAAAAGCCGAAGGAAAAGCTGACCCTCAAGGATTTGAGTTTGAGGCCACTGGTTTAAAGTATCTGTATTTGAATTGTTACACATACATAATGTGACACAAGCACTTAGGTATCATGTGCATAAATGTAACAAATAGTAATCTAATAAAGCATGTAATGTAATGATATTTCTTTTCAAAATTTTCCATGAGCTTTGGGGTATCTTAAAGTCTGCAGAGAGAAAACGACATTTGGGTTTTAATCAGTCCTGCTATGTTTTTAAATAAATGGGACAAAATTCCCTTTGCAATAAAGCTCAAAAATCTCAGATCAGAGTCTCTAACTGATGCATATTAATATCCAAAAATATTTTCCATAATGTTACTCTTCCATCAATACCAAGAGAGAAAAATCTGTTTAAAAATACCTGAAGCTGCAACAAAACAGTCATGTTTTCAAGCTGAATAAGTACCTCTCCTTCTTATTGAGGTTCTGCTGTTTAAGTCATAACTGCAAAGATAAGAGATGTGAAAGTGTCAAGCAGCAGACTGCAGGTTAGCTACATGACCAGAAAAATCTAACCAGCTGATATAAGTTTATTATTTTCCGAGAGAAAACAAAAAAAAGGTTGATATTCCACACAAGTTAATTTACTAAACACTGCTTCTATTTCACCAGGTGTGTATCCTATATTTTTTTCTTTATAACTAGATCAAAATAAAATAAAAGACGTTTAAATAACTGTATTAATGAGGAAGTTGTTGTCTTAGCAGCCGTAGTCACAAGTCTCACTTTCTGGTTATACATTAGAGCAATAAAATAAGGCTACACATTTGTTTAAATGCACATTTAAATATACCGTAGTAAAAACAGGAGTTTCTTGTCTTTTTATTTTGTTATTTTCCTTTCATGTCAAATAATAATTTCATGTTCCAATTTGAAAAAAGAGGTTATATAGAATAACTGCTCTCTAATTGGGGTTCAGTCAGAGTGTCAGTTCCTATGCTTTGTAAAATCAGCAGGAAGATCAAGAACCTATTTAAGCTTCTCTTTGTTTTTACTATTATGCACATTTTATTTCTTTGGACCGTTTAAATGTGACAAACCTCAGAGGAATTCTGAAGCAGATGTTTGACTGTTTTCATCTGGTTTGTTACTTCTCACTGAATCCAAATTCTGGGTTATGTTTTTATTTGCCTCTGCAGGCTGCAGATGTGCAGCATCACACCTGGATAAAGATCCTTTCTCTGATACTTTGTCTCCCTCTAGAGGACGAGAATTAAAACTGTTACTGAGCACAAACAGGCGATTGTCAGGTTTTAATCTTCATTTGAGCCAAAATATTGGACCTTATCTCTCAGACTAACTGCAGGTATGTGTTAAGATGCTGTAGAGGCAGAAGGGTTTGATGATTGATGAGCGCACATCTCCGAATTGCAGTAATTAGGGCTTGAGTTTCTAAGTATAGTCCTCAATACCTTGCACATGAATTCTTAATCCTTACACCTTCTCCCTCCTCATCATATCACAACCACAAAAAATAAGATGCTTATGCACTAAGATATAAACTTTTACCTTTCCCTGCGGTCATATTTCATAGAAGCCTACCGGGCTACCAGCTTTACTTCCCCAGAGACTGATTTATTTTGTCTATAGTTTTTTTTTAAATAAACATCTGAAGCTGAGTCAGAACGGATGGGGAGCTTTAGAGAACATCACCTAAAACCTAAACTTTGAGGCAGCTTTTGGAACATAAGATCCATTCTATTTCCGGCTGTTTTTCTGGAAGGTGAACCTCAGCTCAGTCTCTGGTCTGCAGCCTCTAACATGTTCTCCCAGGTTTGTCCAGCTTTTAGTTCCATCCATTTCCCTTCCAATACTGAGGAGGTTCCATGTCTCCACAGAAGGAAAGCCTTCCAATGAAGTGAAGCTGCAACGACCATGTTTTAAAGTAGAGTTTCCACAACAGAACATGTTTTTGTAAATGGAGCTTTGATTAAGAAAACTAGCAGTAGTACAGAAGTAGCCATTCAAAATGTTCTCACTTTTCTTGATGGGCCCTTGGCTGGTCCCCTACAATTCCTTTTTAAACATCAATATTTGTACTAAAAAATTCTTTCTGTCATGATTTGTGGACATTAAGATCTAAAGAGATGCGTCATCTCCTGGTCTGACCCTTTAGTCAGTTAAAGTGTGGAGTCACAGTAAAGAAATACGCAAGAGGGGGGACACTCCAGTGGCTGCAAGTTTGAAGGGGGTTTTGCTGGGAGTTGCAGGGAAGTTAGCTGCCATTTGGCTGGTGTTTGACTGGGAAGGAGCATTTTGAATGGCTGTATGCTTTAACATTTGTTTGCTTGTTTAACCATGAATCCTAATACATGTATTTAGCTAAGATATATTGCAGCTCAGCTAAAAAAATGCTATGCTGGTTTCATCTGACCAATGCATCTCCTTCGCCTACATGTCGTCTGATGAAAAAGCACAAGATTTTGACTAATAGGTGCCCTTTTTTAACAGATTTTTACCACCTGAGCTGCTGAGGTCTGTAGCTCCTCCAGATGAAGCACTGGCTTTGTGGAACTGTCAGACTGTCACTGATCTGGGCTCCAGGAGATATTCAGAGCTTGAAACTTACTTTAACCTTCCTGCTCTCCCTGACCTGAGCTTTGTTTATCTTGGCCTTTCATCGTTGCTTTCTAAGGGCTGTAAAACACTACATATTGTTTTCTTCTCTCCTCATAATTACGCCTCCTCATAAACATTAAAGGTATAGTGGAGGATGTTCTTTTTCTGAGTGGATCATCAAAATAAGTGGTCCTTTTAATTGTCAATCATTCTGTTGATATGTTTACATAAGGCCGTCCTACGAGCTCGTCCCCATTTTCCCTTACAGTCTGAGGCCCCATCCACACGAAGTCAAAACGAACACGAAACGCTAATATTTTCCAGAACGGTTGTCGTAAAGACGGAGACGTATAATAAATGTGATCGTCCACATGAATGCATGAAAACACTGCAAAATGTATACCAGGCCTGTAAGTGGCGCTGTGGTGCCAAAGCAAAAATAGGCGACGAAATGTTGGGCATGCGCACTAATATTTATACATGGTTGCCCTGCGGGTCCATTTTCGTGGTTAAGTCAAATTCAGGTGCTGAACTATGTCGTCGATATTGCTCTGTTCTTCCTGGAGATATTCCAGAAGAAGAAGATTCTGTTGTAACCCCAACTGCAGGGTGAGTAGCATGAGCAGCAACCATTCAACACAGTACGGCGCCATTGTTGTTGTGATACTGTGTCGCGCATGCGTGTTTAGAGGCGATGCTATGACGAATGCGTGTAAGAAAAAAATGCGGTTAGAGTGTAAAGATTGAAACGCGAAAACGGCGTTTCAAAATCTTCCCACCCTGAAGGCTTAATAAAAAATAGATTGTTCACAGACCCCCGAAATGCCGGCTTCTTATGGATGAGAGGCTGGTTTGGTGAAAAATTTGTGCGTTTAGGCCAGGGTTTGGCTTTGTGTGGACGGGGCCTGACATAGTGAAAAAATTGCAGATCTTCTTTTGTAAAGTAAACTTGTATGAGCTATGCAAACACCAAATTTTTAACAGAGAAGAAGTGCACGAGAAGAAATGGGCTCGTGCACGCTCAAGCATATGTTAAATAGGTGTAACCCTAACCCAGGTGCATTTTAGGTTGGGTCTTTTCAAAACTTTGCGAAAATCCTCCACTATACCTTTATGCTTGTGGGGATATGATAAACTGTAGTAGGAGTCATTTTTTATAAAATGAAGTTATTTTTAAGTTATGTGTATGAGATTTTCATTAAGAGAGCAGGTGCATTGCTAAAAACATAAAAATAATAAAGGAAACAGTCTATAGTCAGCATTCTGACTGAAATAAATTTTCTCAGCCTCAGAAACCAAGCTGGGTTTGATATGTTTGGTGTGGGATAATCGATCAGACCTCGGTGATGAGGGGGCGGCCCGGTGCCGGTCAGCGTTCTGGATCTCGGCCTGGTGTCCCTCAGCCTTACGATGTCGTCCAGCTGGGCTGACTCAGACAGTGAGGGAAGGATGTCCCCGCGGAGGAAGGCCAGGTCATGCTCAGAGAAGGACCGATCTCTTTTCAGCGGTGTGGGAGAACTCTCTGTCCTCCTCATCTCTCCTTCAACTGGAGACTCCTCTTCCTACCAGGGTTTAAGGAAGTTGGGAAATCATAATAAAGCAATGGGAAAGCATGAAAAACCAGCCAGATTGTTTAAATCACTTATTTTTCTTTGGATTCCTTCACATTTTTATTTTCATATCTTTACACTGATTTATCCTTATTTTCTGTGGCTCTTTTTAGCATTTTCTATGTTATTACTTTAAAATGAAGATTTTATGAAGTTCTGTGACTAAAAGCTAGAAGACTGGAAAATTAGGAAAAGTTTTCAGACGTCTTCTTCTAAAAATTAGACCTTTTAATCTTATTAATCCAATCTGTTCAAAACTTAACAGCAAGCCGGTTTATTGCAAAAATGCAAGAAATCCATAAAGATTCATCCTCTAAGTTTAATCACATGCTTTATCCGTTACTTTTTTAAAATTAAATTTCTCCACAAAAGCCTCTGTAAATGTCCTGTGGAAAAATGTATGTAACCTTACATTTCTGTTATTCAGCAAACATTCTTCATATTTCCTGCGTCTTGCTAACATTTAGCAGCAAACGCTATACATAAATATTGAATATATATGAACTTAATTTATTAGCATCAAAATCTTATATTTTTATTTAGGTCTCAAATCTATATTATATTTACATATCTATCTATATCTTTGATAGACAAAAACACATCTTAAACTTCTGTAGCGCAGATATAAAATATTTGATGAAAAACATCCAACAAAGTTTCTCCAGCGTTGCAAAGATCAGTGAGGGTGAAAACCTTTTTGTGAAGGATGTTGATTCAATCTAATGTTTTATAGTTTTAATGCCTAATATCTCCCTAACACTGCATACAAATGTCATATTTTTCAGTCTGCTCAACACAGGATAAAAAAAAGGGTGCAGCTGTGAAAAACATGGAGTGAAAACAAGTGATTAGTAGTGAGTCTGCTTCACCTCAGAGATGTTCATCTCCTCCATCTCCGCCAGCGTCGGAGCCTTGAGCAGGATGCGAGGCCGGGCCGGCGGCCGAGGCTCCGATACCGACAGATCAATGCAAGATGTGGATTTGACATTGCAAGGACACGTCTGAGCCAGACAGGGCAGCGAGCCGAACGCTGAGAGAAGAGAAGGAAAAACAGAATCAGGGAAGAACGAGGAGCACTCAGATCAGAGGGTGGAGAGGAAAGATGTGCTTAAAGAGCAATTTCAGGATCTGAGAGTGATTACTGTCCCTCAGTCATTCAGAGAAACCATTTCTGCTGCATTCTGAAAAAAGCTTGTCTTTAAAAATAAAATACCTGAGTTTTTTTTTAACCTTTCTGTTATTTCAACTTTATTACAGCCAGTAAATCCTAAAAAAAAGTTACTGCATTTTTGAAAGAGAATGTTTAAACAAGCAGCTAAAACCTGATATAATGTATAATGTTCACGCTCAGAATGTGTTCTGAGGTGAAATACAAAAAAACAGTGTTACAAATAAAATAATTTAATAAAAAACCTGATTCCAAGCAATCAACAAAGATATAAGTTTTATAAACTAGTTGGGTTTTTTTGCACCATTTATTTTTATTATCTGCATGTAGAAACAGCTTAGAATTCTTTTGCTCCGTTATTTCAAAATGAACTTCCAGAAAAATGAAAAGACTTGTTGTTAGTGTTATTCTAAGTCAAAATTGAAACCCTATTTGTTAAGAGCTGCTTGGGACTCTCCTATTGGGCATAACAGCAACAACAAAACAAAACAAAAAAATAGTCTGCAATCCAACTTTTTTAATTTGCTTTTATTATGCAGTAGAAATGTAATATTTTCTTTCTTGTGTCCATTGCAAAAATGTCCTTCTAAGTCTTACAGATCTTAGATCTAGGCAAAAAATGTTTCTGCTCTTCTTTTGAGACTAATATACTACACAAGAGAAGATTTTGTTTGATTATGAATCTTTTTAGGACAATTCTGCTCAAAATAGGTGAAGCCAGACAGTTGTACTTGGCAAGACTTCTTGTCTTGGGAGTATCTATCATGATTTCAAGAAGTCTTACCAAGTCTTACCAAGCGCAAATGTCTTACTGTCTTACTCATAGCATGTATTTAGGGAAAAAAAAAATAATCCTACAGAATCTGCTCTTGCAAAGTATATCAATCTAGAAAAAAGATACAAAAGACATTTTGGCTAGGTATCTTATAAATAAGCTGTATTCACCTGATTTCGTCTAAATAACTCCAAATGTGCTGGGGTTTTTTGACATTTTTTCAATTAGCTGAAAAGAGTGGAAACATTTTGTTTTATTAATGTGCAGATGCTAATTTATTGATTTTTGTGTTAAAAATGCAATCCGGAGCCCATGCTGAGAAGAACAGCTTTAAACACATGATGAATAGATTTCAGGAGTATCTGTATTTAACTGGTTGTGTTATTAATTCCTCTGTTACAAAAAGCTAACAAACAGGCCCTTTAAAGGACAGTGTTGTTTTAGTTCATTGTACAGCTTTAAAGAGCACTGCTCCCATTGCTTACTGACTTTCTCCCGTAACAAAGTCACAAAAGGTGAATTAGCCCAACCTTCATCTGAAAATAGCTGCTCTGCATTTGTGAAATGTGATACTGTCTGAGCTTATGCAGCAAAATGGACGATGTTCTGAAGTTCTCATCTCAGAGTCCAGTTCTACCCTACAGACTCACAATATGATCAAATCTAATGCAATAATTCCCTAAGAAAACAGCAGCAATGAAACAGCAGCCAGATAAGGAAATATAATGGCAGAAATGATGAAAGCCCATAAACATCTTTTTCTTTTTTAAACCAAGGTTGAACTGAATAAACACCCTAAAATAATCAGAAATTTACTCTAAATAGATACATATCCTACATTAGGGAAAAAAACTGTATCCCATAAGCAATTTTACACAAAGTATGATTCAGACTGATATTCCTGATCTTCTGTATGTTAGAAAAAGTAGAAATGAAGATGTGTTATACACTTACAAAAAGCTTTTTAAAGAACTGAATATTGAGATTCTCCCATGGCAGTTGTTGTTTTAACATGATCTAACTTTAACATGTACAGTAAGGATCTCTTATGTCAAACTAATTTATTTTAGGTGAAGAACAATCAGCTGAAGGTGCAGCTAATGCACCTGGAAAACCTCAGAAGGTTTATCTGCAAATGTTTAGCTTTAAGCCTAGGGTTTATTTCTCAAACACTCTCAATACAAACTGGTTGGGGGGGCATTACATAGATGAAATAATGACTCATATAAAACAGTGACGGAAAAGCAGAAAGTGCATTAAAGCCAATCACCAGTAGGAGGCGACACATTGTCAGAAATTGTGTTTATTAAAAAAAATCAGTAAAAAAATCTATTTGGGTTGATTCATTTCTATTTATCTTCAAAGCCTCAATTTGAAACAATAGGGAAACATTTCCATCCAGACATAAGCTGTAAATTCAACCCAAATAAATGCATCTTTACAGAAATTTCAGTTCTGATGCAACAAGATCCAGTTGAATTCATCCAGTTTAGCAGTGATGGTGTGATATGCAGCTTAGGGACAGTTGCCCAGAGTGGTACCAGAGAGGGGGGGTACAAGTAATAAGAAAGATGTAACTTCTTTATCTTAGTTTACCCTCAGATGTGTTCCATAAGCTCAATGCATGTGAGTTCAATGGGGGGAAGCAAAAGATGACTACTTCTGTGGTTTATATTGAGTAGACACCCCTGCTTGTTATTAAGAAGAGAAACACTCAGCCTTGTTTGCTGTCCGTCACACTGTTAAAACATGAGCTACCTTTAGCTATGCTAAACTGGGAGATATCTAGAAATCATGTTTTAGACTGTCAACTGTTTCTGTAAACATTTGTAACATGGGAAACCATAAGAGGGCTTATAGACCTACTGCTGTTTAACATTTTCCTATAAAATTCAACAATTTCTAGCTTCCATTTGGTAACTGAGCTCTTCTTCTCATGTTGACACCTTGAATCCTTTTAATTTAGTTGTAGAATTAATGTTTATGGGTTTCCACTTAAAGCTACAGTGTGTAATTTTCAGCGACATCTAACGTCCAGACTGCAGACCGCAGCAACATGAACATCTCCCCCCCACCGCTTCTCCCCCCAACAGTACGGCGAGCGTTACAGGACAAAATGTCTTCCACGACGTCCGCATCACCTACCTTCTCAAGTGATGAGGTTTGTTTACATAGATAATTTTACAGATAGTATTTCATTAGTCTGTGTAGGGTATAGATTTCAGTACCGTCTCAGTTCATCTCTCTCAACTTGCCGTAGTTACTTTAGAGCGTAATGGGCGATCTCGCAATCGCTAGTTTGTTGGCTCTGCGCTGCCGTAGCACAAAGATGTCTGCCTCCATGGCTGCGAGACCCGCTCCTATGTAATTATAAATAACGAATTCTAAGGCAACGCAAATATTAAGGTTAAGAGGCTGAGCTCGTAGATGATGATAAATAACATAGTTATGTATAATATATTACTTTTCTGACTGTATATCCCTGTAATTATTACACACTGTAGCTTTAAAGGATTTAAAGATTCTTGTTGACCTCAGTCCTGCCGCTCAATCCAAACCTGATCTATTTTGGTTTGACTTCAAAGTTACTGAAGTAGTAGTGCTGATGTCTGAATGGTGGCTTGTTGTATGAAATCACATAGATGTGGTATTGATCTACCCTTGTTTAAACTGACCAAACCAAGGTAGCAGAACCTCCATGAATCCATCAACATCACAGTAATGTAACTGCACCTGTACATTTTCCCTTTTTACAGCCATGATTTTTTCCTTTAGTAACTTTGGATCTTTTTTTTTTTCTCTTAAAGCCCTTTGACTGTATTTTGTCTTTTGCTGTCTCCATGTGGTGACATATCAACTGATAATGTCTACATCAGAATATCTATTACAAAAATGAGACATATCCTGTCCAGGGGTGATGCTGAGAAACTACTCCATGCATTTGTTATTCAAGGCTGAACTTTTGTTATTCTTTAGAATCAGGAAGTCCAAATCTGTATTCAAAAGTGTTCACCTGATCCAAAATGCAGCCAGAGTTCTGATGAAAACTGAAAGGAGAGATCATATTTCTCCAATCCTTGCTTTCATCCATTGTTTTGTTTTGCTTTTTCTGTTAAATCCAGAATATAATTTAAAATCCTCTTTATGATATATAATGTAAATCCCTTTATTGTCCCACAATGGGTAAATTCACTCTCTGCATTTGACCCTTCCCCTTGGGGAGCAGTGGGCTGCCATTATGGGGCGCACAGGGAGCAGTGTGGGGTAAAGGGTTTTGCTTAGGAACCCAGAGTGGCTATGGGGATTTAACCTTCTCAGCACAAACGCACTGCTCTAACCCACTAGGCCAACACTCCCTCAGATGTAAAGCCCTTGGCCAGATCTTACATCAGAGATATGATTGTTAATAATGTTCCTAATAGAGCACTTTGCTCTCAATCTGCAGGTTTACTAGTGGTTCCTAGAATTTCTAAAAATAGAATGGGAGGCAGATCTTTTAGTTATCAGGCTCCTGTCTTGTGGAACCAACTACCGGTTTTAGTCCGTGAGGTAGACACCCTGTCTAATTTTAAGGCTGGGCTTAAAACTTTTGTGTTTGATAAAAGTAATAGTTAGAGTGCATCAGGTTATCTTGAACTATCTCTATTGTTATGCTGCTGTAGTCTTAGACTGCTGGAGGACATGGGTTCCACTTTACCCCCTTCTGCTTCATTCTACTTACATTCTTTAATTTTGCAGCATTTGCTAGTTCAACCCTTAGCTTTATATTCTCTCTACTTTTTCTAGCAATAGTAGCTTCATCTGGCCTGATGCTCTGTTTAGCTGTAAAATCATACTGGAGTGAACCATAAGCCTTGGCCATCAACAACTTTCATTATAGATGGTAGATTTGGTCCTGTTGTTCAGTGCTTAGTCCTGTTTCTCTCCTAGAGATAGCTATGTGCGCAGCTATTACTGTGGCTGACTATATATGTTATTTTTCATCCCTTTGACATGAAAACTGCCTCAGAGCTCATTTGCAAAACAGTTTATTTCCCAGAGATCCTCCTGTGGAGCTAATTTACAATAAAATTTTTTAACATAGAACGTATTTATGGATCGGTGCTTCTATCTTCAGTTTGTATGCGTACTTTGTCTCCTTGAACACCCAGTTGGCCTCAACAGAGGGCCACTCTCACTAAGTCTGGTTATGCTGGAGGTTTTTCCTCTCCACTGTCACTACAGAGACGCATAGCGTGAGGGTTTGCTGAAGAGCAGGGGTCTCAAACTCAAATCCTCAAGGGCTGGTGTTTTGCTACTTTTAGATATGTTCCCTTCCCTGCACACCTGAAAGAATTATCTAAACTGACACACAAGCATCAGTCAAGCTCAGCTAATGAGCTCATAGTCAGGTGTGCTGAAGCAAAGACGCATCTAAAAGCTGCAGGACATCGGCCCTCAAGGATTTGTCTGCTGTAGAGCCAACAACTAAATGCAAGTGACTGTATGTTGTCGTTACATGCTCATCCAGGAGAGGTAAATCCAGCAAAGTCTACGACTCAGTGCAATCATCTGGGTATCCTTTGATAGAAAATTTTTAACCAGTCTGTTGGATGGCTCGATTGAATTGTCTCTGTAAAGTGCCTTGAGGTGATGTGTTTTGCATTGTCGCTATATAAATAAACCAGAGTTTAATATATAGTATATAATGACAGGAATCAACATTTTCAAAGATGATTATTGAGGAAAATCCAGCAGGTTTTTCCTTACATCTGGCTGTGTGTGGTGCCACAGGCCTGAGCTTCCTCTCCTGCTTGATCTCTGCCAGGACGCGTTCATGAAGCGACTGCTGCTGTGGAGGAGGAGGAGGAAGGCTGCGTTCTGAAACCTAACGAGAAGAGCATATGTGACTACATCTGCTTATCAACAAATCTGAGATACAAATAAAAGAAAGTTTCTCCATGTCTCCCAGGCAAAACACTCTTATCTATCTACACAGCTTTACCAAAGTATTCACAGCCCTGAAACATGTTCAAATTCCCTCTCATTAAAACCACAAACTAGTTAAACGTTTATTTGGGATGTTTTCCATGAAGAGATTTAGTATATAAAACAATATTCTAAGCTTCAAAGATCTCACAGAGCTGTCCTTAAGCAATCGTCTGAGTTTGGAAAGATTATGGCACATAATCGCAAGTCTACAAAGAAATGATCATCCACCTGAAATCTAAAGGCCGTGAGAGAAGAGCATCACGCAGAAGACAGAGATAATAAATCCAAACTTTTTGCTTTAAAAGAAAAATGTAAAACTAAACCTCAGTAAATCTGTAAGAGCAGCAGAAATTCATGTATTGAAAGAAAATAAATCAAAGTCCTGTTTGCAGTTTACTAGAGACTATAAAAGGTCCCGGTTAACATGAGGAAGAAAGGCGCTGACGTCAGAAAAATATTGAGTTTTGGTCAACATATCAAAAGCTGCATAGCAAAAAAAGAACTGAGATGGACATGCAAATTGCAATGAAATACATTTAAGTTTGTGGTGGTGATGGGCGAATATTTGCAAAAGTTAAAGGTTTAAATGCTCCGATAAAGGACCATTAATAGAATCCTAGATTGGATTTTCTCACAGGTTTGAGAGGAGGTCTGGATCTGATGAAGTCCAGGATCAGTTCATGGGCACTTCTCTTCACTCTTGTTGGAATGTCACCGTCCACCTTAATGAAGCAGAAACATGACATAAGCCAACTGCAGAAATCCTGCACTTCATAAACATTTTCACACATAATGACTTTTTGGACCCTGACAGCTATAAGCTAAACAAGGCAACATCAGCCGTAGTCTGTAGTTTTTGTTTCACACGCTGGGGCTCTACAAAAATAAATGAACACCATAAAATGAAACAGAAGGATGGAAGGCGTTTTATAAATATGCATTAATATTAGTGGCTGTGAGCTGAATATGGAGGCCTGAGGCTCCTTTGCCACAAACACATTTGCATTCTTGCTCCATAAAGCTTCAGATCAAATCTTCAGACTTGCTCAGAGTCTCCCTGCTTCACCTGAAGCTCTGCCAGGTCGTCATAAAATACCCCCCTTCATTATTCGGACACATTTAAAGCTAAAAATAATGTCAAGTTTAATGGCTTTAATGCAAATTGGCAACAAATGTGCACCTTTGATATCTATACTTTTTTATTTAGGATAAAGAATAAAATGATTGGTTTTTTATTTCCATTCTTATTTCTGATTTCTGGGATTTTGAGATTTAAATCTATGCAGGATTTGCCACAATATCTCCTCTTTGGCATTTATTTCAGCAATCTCTGTTCACCTATCACCATCTGAATTTCATGGGAATCTCTGCTGTGGTTTAAGCAGGGACCTGTTTAGGACTTCAGTTGGGCTCCAAATTCTAGTTCACACATATAATTATATATAATTAATATGTAATCATAAAAATGTAAACAAATGATGGAGAAAACTGGTATTTTCCCCAATGTTGTTCCTCTGGACCACATTTTTAACATTTTTTTTTCTTTCTTTGCACAGACGAGCTATGTTACTTTTATTTTCCTTTCTTCCTTTTTTATATTTTTTCCCTTTTCTTCTTATTTTTTTTTTCTCTCTGTCATCCCTAGACTAGATTATTTTTATTCTCAGTCGGGCTGTAACAGGAGACTAGGTTAGGGTGTGTAGAGTAAACACCTTTATATGTCATTATTTTTGAACTGACGCTAAAGTCTTGAAACTAAAGCAGCTAAATTCTCACCTCAGGACTCAGTACAACGGCAACTACAGTCCCTCTGAGTACCATCAGTAGGCAATGTAGGCGAAGCGTCTTGCCTATAGATACAATGACACTGAAAGCCGGAGCCGAGGCTTGAACTGTCAGCCTTTCGATTTCAGGGCACACTCCTACATCCGACACCACTGTTGCCTACTGCATTTCAACGAAATGCATTAGAAGCAGAAAGTCTATAAGTTGACCTAAAGAAACCTTTTTCCAAAAATAAAACTGTCTGTTTTGGATTTCAGTCCTCAAACAGCTTTACTGTTTCTGTTTCACTAAAAGCTTCCAGTGATTTCTGAACTTATTGACGTGTTCAGGAACAGCGACTCTCACCATGACTTTGCGAAGCTGAAATTTTCGAGCTCGAATGTCCTGCATTAGCATTTCAAATGGCGTCAGGCTGAACTCGGTGGGGAGCGGGTTGAACGGTTGCTCCTGGACCTTCTTCAGCTTCACCCCCTGCCTCAGCTCCTTCATCAGCTGCACCCACAGACGAGCCTGGTGCAGAAAAAACAGAAGATAAATCTGGATCTGTCAGCGCGACGGCTCCGCCTGCACGTGATCAAACACACAGTTCTGTTGTCCTCTCGTCTCACCCAGTCTGTGTGCTTCAGCGCATCTAGCTCAGCTGTGGATCTGTCCTCCTGAAGCTCTTGAGAAGAAATTTTCTTCAACATCTGGACAACAAAAACATATCTAAGCATTTAAACTCTCATGTTCCTAAAGGTAACTTGAACTTATTTGATAAGCAACAATCAGCTATGTTTGAAACCAAAACTTGACCTCAGATATTTACAATAGCAGGATGTAATAAAAAAAAAACATCTGTTGATTGAAGTGATTTCATGAACTTTTGCCCCAAACGTGTCAAAGTTAACGGATATAAAAACCTTTCTAGGTCTCAACATAAACCTATCACTGAGTTATCCCACAAACACAGCCCCGCATTTATGAACATCAGGGCAGCTACATATACAAACTATAACATTCAACTTTAATGTGACAATAGAAGAAAGCCTTACAGCAGCTTCAACATTTAAACGTTTAGTTTTCCTTCTCAGTTTATCGCAGAAAACCCAGATTATAGAAATCGATTTGATCTGAGATGTAAAGATGTAAACTAGAATCTAGACCACACTAGTTTTACACATTCTCTAAAAAAGGTCTACAGAAAGAAAGAAAGAAAGAAAGAAAGAAAGAAAGAAAGAAAGAAAGAAAGAAAGAAAGAAAGAAAGAAAGAAAGAAAGACTCAAAATAGGACATTTTTTTTTATTAGCTGATTAACCCATTTAGCAGGTTTAAAGTTTAGCAGGTTTTAAGATCCTCAGATCTTGCTTTGACTTTTTTGTCTGAAGTTTTATTTCATCATGCCTACTAAGGAAAACCCATGAAAAAAAGATGATGCAGAGCGATATATTGGAGCTCATATTTTACAAGTTTTTTAATAAATGTAATAATTCCTTGATTGCTCTATTCTTTTATGATTGAATCCCTGTTTCTCCTTTGCTGTCTGAGTTTGATGAGGACATAAACATTTTATGTTTCGAGGATAGTGCCACAATGACACTGTGATGTACCTCCTTTGTTTCTCGGATCTTGTTGAGGAAGGTCTGCAGCTCCAGAGTCTCCACAAACAGAGCGCGGCAGACAGCCTGGTAGTGGTCTGGAGCCAGGCTCGGATTGGCCAGACGAGATGCACAGAGCACCACCACCTGACTAAACGAACTAACTGGCCTTTTCACCCCCTCCTCCTTCTCCTCCTCCTCCTCTTCTTCTTCCTGTCCGCTGTACCCCTCATCCGAGGCACCGCTGCCAGCAGAGCTGGTCCCCTCTTGGTTCTGGTCTCCCCCGGCCATTCGCTCGATAAGGCTCTCCAGCTGCGGGCTGAGCTCCCTCTCCTCATTTTCATCCAGCCCCCAGTCCAGCGCTCGATAGATGGCCACACCAAGGGACTGAACCAGCTGAAGGCAGGAATTATGGAGTAAAAACACATGCAGGAAGCAAACATGAACCCTGAATACCTAAAAATTTTAATTTTTCTATCACAAAAAAATAGTATAATTACAATAGAATATTTCTAAATTCTATACTATTCTATATATTTGGATCGTTTATTTTTAATTTTGTCGACCTTTTGAAAATGTATGGATTTTTGGTATGCATTTGTGTACAAACATGGAGAGGAAATTGGTAAGAAAAAAAACAAATCTTCAGGCAGCCTGGAAAAACACTGAAGACTTTGTTGAGAAGATTTGGTTTATTAGCAGCTAACAATAGAAACAAAGGCTGGTTTAACTGCCTACTCTGTTTTTTTCAGATTTAAAATCAATCTGATGGTCAAATTGTAGAAAAACATTTGTTAATTTGTGTTTATCTGCAAATATCCTTTTTAAAATTCTTTATTTTGATCTCGGAGTATATATATATGAGCTGAAAGTGCAGCAGCTTTTTTGCATCTTCTGCATTTCTTACCTGGCGCTCAGCGATGGGTGGAAGGTCAGCAGCATCATTTTCATCTGGAAAACCAGACACATAGAAACCAGATTAGGGCTTAAAGTATTTCTGCGGATCAACAAGGCAATCACAACACTTTCCTGTTTCTAAAGTTGCCTAACCAGTAGATCTTTGGTTTTCTGGTTGTGTGACATTTTCAGACCAGTTTATCAGATAGCAATGATCCAACCAAACAGACAAAACAATTTTTTTTTCTTTTTGTGACTTTTGGATGGAGCTGATTGTTAAAGATTGAAATCTGGGCGCCGGCGATTCAAGCAGAACACAAAGAGCTGCAGCACATTGGCTGCAACAAAGACTGCAGACCGTGCAGAAAGCATGATGATCATAAAGCAACAGCTGGTCGTGCAGCTTAAAGTTACAGAGTAGAAGAGCTGAGTGCAGCCTTTAAAGAAGAGGACGGGACGTTTGTCACCCAAGATACTGAGCCATCCTTTGACATCATGGGATGTGTGAATTGATTCATTTTATTTTGACTGAGCTGATCCTTGCTGAGATAAAAGTTTGTCTCAAATGTAACTAGTTTTATGAATACTCTCTGTACCCAGGGAAAAATAGTACAAGTATGAAAATTGCAAAGTAAACCAAGCTTGGATTGAAACAAACAAAAACATAAAAATAAATAAACAGCACTATAAGTAAAGAATAAAGCAGGAAAGTATGACGTAAATCTTAATAGAAATATTTACGAGAATTGATTCGGGAACTTTAGTCCATATATTCAAAGCTAGTCATGAGTTGTTAAGATCATTTATTATAGTGATTTGTCTACAAATATTTCTGACCTAGGGGTGTTTGTGTTGTTGAAGAAAAAACAAAAAATAAAGCAGTCAAAAAAAAGAAATTGAAAAAGGTGAGAAGTCATC